GAATGGGAAATTAAGTACGATAATTTTCTGATAATCGACGATCCAAACACAGTGACCAACTAATGGTAAGATATTTTATTCCTTAATTGGAGTCGATGAGCTTGTCTTGTTAAGTTGCTGAGACTTATTCACCATATTGGCCATATTCGGAGTTGTGTAGGCACCAAAGCTAATTTTAGCTGCAGCTGGTGCAGAGAAAGGAGAAGAGGCAAAACCAAATCCCAAGCTCTGTGATTTTGCTCCCGGCACTGCATTGCCTCTAGTGAGGGCCGAAAGGCAGGAACAAGAAGAATCAGAGACTCTAAATGGGAAACCAGAGAGTGATATTGATCTGTTGAGGGTGGAAATTGTGAGTGGAGAAGAACAGTTGTGGTGGTGGTGAAGCGGTGGTGGCGTAGGAGAGAGAGTGAGAGAGGTAGAGTTTGGTTCATAGCGCAGTAGAGAGAATGAGATGTTGTTAATGGACATGGTAGCGTGTGAAGATGAACACTGGAGTTGGAAAAATGGGTGGCCACAGCCAAGTAATAATGAGAAAGGTAAAGGGGGTGTGGATTTGAATGTTCGGCATGAAACTTTGGTGGCTTCAGACGGTAGTGGTGGGCAGCAATGAGCTGAGGTGATCAAGAATGGGAGGAGCAAGACGGCGGCGGCGAAGATGGTGGTGGTGGCGGCATTGTGAAAGTATAAAAAGTCTGGATTTGAACTAGTTTGGGAGGACTAACAAGGTTGGTATGGTAGAGGTAATCAAGAACGTGTGGCTGAGACGGTGGCGGGAGGTGTTGGTGGCATTGTAGAGCCCAAAAGGAGGAGTGAAAGTATAAAAATATTTGAACCTTGCACTTACCTTATGGCCAAATTCATATTTCAGGATTCGAACCTTTGATGCGGCAACTTCAACTAAAGTTGGAATTTTTACACCTTCTCCTTTTACCACTTGAGTAGACTAACTATGTTGGTGGAGTGGGGGTTATCAAGTGAAAGTAATAATCAAATGAGAAGAAGATGAAGTTCTAAATCTCGAACCTAGTTTAGATGGACAGACGACCCAGGTCACTGGGGTTGACTGGGGGATGGTCTTGAGCCTTGAGGGGACGGCTCACGTGAAGATAATTGGGAGGGCAAGTGAATCAAATGAGTTTGATTGTTTGTTAATGCTGTTATTAGCAAAGTAGAATTGCGTGCGCCCAATTCTTTGGTAGACTCTGACTGACCCCAAAATTCAAAAGTCTTCGTGCTCGTGCTTGTTGAAAGTTTCCCACTAATCAACCTTTCTCTTTCGAGATAAAAACGTCCCGCACGAATGTATTTGGTTCCCACTTAAACAAATATATTTGTATTAACAAATGTTATAAATTTTTATCAAGAGTGTTTTTGATTTTTGACAAATTTTTATGTGTGAAGTTACCAAATTTGTACAAGATAAAAGCTCTTGGTGAATGGAGACTGATTTTAACTCAACATTATTTCAAACCGAATCGAAAAGCTTAAGTTCAAAACTTATCTTGACGCCGGAAAGGTGGATGTATTGATTCCAGTGTGCTTCCCTCTTTACATATATTGATTTTGAGTGAACATTGTTTATAGACTAGTTTGTATTTTAAGTTCGAAATATATTTATATTGACTTTCTTAGGCTTGATTGCATTTATTATGAATTAATTGCATATCATATAATTTCACTTTTACATCTTGTGGAGAGTTAAAATAGGTTACATTTTATAACACCTTTTGAGTACCTTTTTTTGGGACTTCTTTAGCATATCTCTCACAAGTAAAAAAAAAATCCTATAGTTGAAACCTATTATCGGTTGTTGTTGGTCATGAGGGCTACTTAAAGGTCCAAAGAGTCGAATCGGCCTATTTGACGTAGGTTTGATACCACTTGTATTTTATTTATTATTGATGAGTTAGTGTTATATATCTTGTTAGGATCATATGACCCACCACGTCTAGAAAATCTGGCCTATCTTTGCACCTATACTTCTCTTATCTAGGCGACTAGGGGCCAACAATGTGCACTCGAGGGCCAAGGTCGACAATCAAATGTTGGAGGTTAATAAAAGATATTGAGGATCATCGATCTATTATTATCGTAGGTAAGTGCAGTTGTGTGTGTGTTAATGATCAACATTTGAAACTACAATAAGTGTTTAATGCTTGATGGTTAGCCAATGTTGTAGATAGTCGAAAATCAATTATTGTCATCGGAGATGAGAGCTAGCTAGTGATGTTGGGGGCAAAAAATTGGACACAGACAATCGGTGAATAACAAATTGATATTGATCAATGGAAGGTGGAAGTAATGTAAATTATAATTGTTCTATATAATGCAGTACAATATTTACAAGCCACTATTTATAGTAGAAAATCATATAACACGAGATCAAGAAAAATTAAAGATTATCATAGATTTAGTCCGATTTAATTCAACATTTTGTTTGTTTAAGTTCGATTGTTTGGTAGCTCTATAATTCAGATTACTTGGATAAACTGCATTGCTATTATTGATTCAAAAAAAAAATTAGGGCAGCACAACCAATCATCGCACTGTAAAATCTGGATATCTTCTTTCTAAGCTTACATGTTCAGTACCCATGCCCATCATGTTTAGCTAAGTTTTAAAGAACCGAGCTGCATTGCCAGGGAGGATGTAACACTCTCTGTGACTGAACACACATATTGGGGGGAGGGAAGCATTTGTTTTCATTTTTTATTTCATGCGGGTCCCACGTCGATCCCACACTCATGTGAGGTTAAGTCAACCAGGTGGGCAAATTAATTTGGGCAAACTAGCTTAATTCCATTAAAGGTTTACCCATGCCCATCATGTTTAGCTAAGTTTTAAAATGTTTACCTATTGAGAAATTTTAAAATAAATAGCTTTTTTGATTGAATAAATTCAAATACTTTTTTAAGTTATTTATTTTGAGGGTGGGAAAAAAAGTTACCTTCAAAAAATGACATTTTTAACTTGAACGTTAAAAGTAAAAAAAAAAAAAAAAATGAAAAAAGTAACATAATACTTACATACCCACGAGTCCATGACCTCCAGTTTAGCCAAACATGTTCACTCACTCACTCACTCACCTAATCCATTCCATATATTCCTCCGGTTTGTATGCCAAAAGTCTATGAATCCATCAATCAGTAGTTGACTGTTGTTTATCAGAAAAAAAATGGAAGTAATTATAGCAAAAGTGGAAGTTTTATGCCTTGTGTCCATTCACCTCTAAATCCAACTCCTTACTAACTCTAATTATATAAATTGTCAACTTCGATTCTTCATATTTTCATGTTCAAATGATTTTCATAAGGTATTGGTGAAAAAATAAGATAGAACTCGAAAGAAATTAAGATTGGATAAGAGAAATCTCAAAACTTGCAATAGATTGAGTACTGAGGACTCCTCTTATTTCAAAATTGCTAGATTTTAATGAAAATAATATATTATTTACACGTTCGATCGCAAAATGAAAGTTTACTTAATAAACTTTAGATAGTTAATTGTAATTTAATGCTCTAATGTCAAATTTCTTTGTATTAAAAAAAATAAAAAATAACCTACCTTTAAAAATGGATTACTTGCATAAACAATTATGCTATGAGTACTAAAAAAGTTTGACATAATTTTTACAGAAGAACAATTGACAATTTTTTATTGGTTTTCGACACAACAATGACAGAAAATGCACCACACAGATACTGTTAACGTAACACCTATATGATTTCTGTGAATAATTCCTTATACGCAGGGAATCATTCTTGTGTAGAAGATTCTAGTTAAAAAGGAATAATACACTTTATGAGTTCTTGTCTTTTTTCCATTAAGATTTTAATTCAAGTCAAAATCAACAATAAATTTTATTCACGTATTTCATCAATTTTTATCAAAATCTACTAAAATTCTGATTTTGATCCCTACCTATTTGACTAAGTTTTCACTATCTCAATTCTCACCCACCCTTTCAAACATTTGATAGTGCATTTTCATTTGATTTAGACAATTAATAATGCCATAATGAAGTTTCATTGTCAACGTTTGCCCTCTTGGAAGTTTATATCTTCCTAACCTAGGCGTGAAATATAACGTAAGATAAAGACCAACTTTGGCCAAGTTTAGGAAAAAAGTTAATTTTAAATATCTTTTTATTATCTAACAATGGTATTAGTTTCAAAATAAGTAATCTGCTTTTTCACTTATAAGTAAGAATCTTTTAAGCTTAGCCAAATACGCTTATGAATTTTATGACCCATAAAAACCAGGACTTGACCATGAAATACAACACGTAATACAAATAATTTGGCTTTGTATTATATATAATCTAAACTTCTTACTTCTCTCTCTCTCAATCACTATGTTAGAACAAAGAGTACAACTGCCAACAAACATATAGTCCCTTTCATTCCACCCCTTAATCATATTTATAGCACTAATTAACACATTGATAATCATCTAGCCTCATCAAGAAATTAGGTTTCTACTGAAAATATTGTTATGGAGTTCTTCCACAAAGCCAAGGCTGTCAGACTCAAAAGCCACTTGAACAAATACCTAGTAGCAGATGATGATCAAGTCTCCACCAGGCAAAGTCGAAGCGCGGCCACCCGAAAAGGGCGGTGGACGGTTGAGCTTGTCGAATCCAACAGCCATGTTATCCGCCTCAAGAGCTGCTACGGCAGGTACTATTCAGTCTTGGAGTTGACAGGTCACAGAATTATTCGATTTTAACATGGATTATTTACCCTTAACAGGTACCTTACGGCCTCGAAGGAGCCGTTTTTTTGGGGCACAAGTGGATGCAAAGTCATGCAGACTGAGCAAGAAAACATGAAGGATTTTTCCATTGAGTGGCAACCTATAAGGGATGGATTTCAAGTAAAGTTAAAGAGTTTAGGGGGTACTTTTTTACTTGCTAATGGAGGAACGCCACCTTGGAGAAATTCAATCGCACATGATAATCCTAATACTGGTCCAACCAAGGATTGGATTTTGTGGGATGTAGAGGCTGTAGAAATCCCAGAAAATGAATTCTTGACTGATTATTTGTCGATGGTTTCCAGTTTTTCGTCTGTTTCCGATGAACTTTCCGGCTTGGATATGTGGTCGCCGCCGCCGGAGTCGCCGGTGTCTGTGCACTCCGGTTATTCACCCTTCTTTAAGAGGTTATCTATGACAAAGGTATGTTTTCTGAACTTGTCAAACGTGTAAAGAATTTCCCAAACAATAATAATAATGGCTGTGAAGAAATTAATTATGTCATTTTAATAGTTTTCTTGTTTGGGCTATGGTCATAAGAGGATGTTTGGCCTTGTTTAGAAAGTACTTTTTAAGTAATTTATTTCGAGTAAAGAATATTAAAAAAGTTACTTTTAAACACGATTAAACATGTCATAAAAAAACTCAATTTTTATTATGATTTTTTCTTTGACGATAATTATTTAGGTTAAAAATCAAAGAGGGAAAAAAAATTAAATTTGTTGCTCCTAATTGATGACTCTGATTTTGGTTTAAATATAACTTTTTATTCAATGTAGCATTTTAATAAAAATAAAAATATTAAAAATTTACTTTTAAATATGGTCAAACTTACCATAACAATTAAATTTTTATTATACTTTTTGGAATGGCTTATCACCCGAACGTTACTCCCTTGATTACTAATTTCTAATTATAATTTGTTGCTTAATTTGGAGGACACGTCTTACGGGTTATACCATTAAAATTGATATATTGAGTAAAGATTACAAACTATAAAACGAGAGTAATGTAAATATCATCAGTATCACGTCATAATTCTATTAGATAAAAATTAATGGAAGGTATGATTAAAAAGTAATAAATTTCATGATATACGTATTTAAAATTAATTATTATCTTTAGCATAAATTTTAATTATTCTTTTAGCTAAAGAACTAATTAATGATATTATTCAACATTTGTGGTAATCATCAGATTCATCACCTATCAGGTGGCTGTGGACACACTGTAGTTTTGACTTTTGTACAGTCAAACTTTACCTCATTAGCCTCACATTGGAGTGAGACTCACCGTGGGATCCACGTGAATTTTTTATTTTTTTTTCAAAATAGTGCTTCCCTATTGTGAATGTACTGTAAAAGTGGGTGGCAAATCCATCGTGCCATAGAAGTGCCACAAAATGATCTGTTGTGGTATTCCAAAAGGAAATTCCAAAAGGAATACCAACAAAAATGATTTGTGGTATTCCAAAAGGAAATTCCAAATGGAATACCAACAAAAATGATCTGTCGTAAAGTCACATGGTAGATGAACTTGATTGGCGCTGACTGTCATCCATTACAGGAAATTTCTTGTGATTCTGGGGTCGGAACTTCCAATTTTCCATTAAACCCATAAAAAACCAGCCTTAAATTCATTCAATTTCTTTCTGGGATTTTTTGTTTACGCAGAAATCTTTCAATTTAATCACAAGAACACCAGCAATGGATCTGTTCCAGAACTCCAAGGCAGTTCGACTGAGAAGCGTCCACGACAAGTACTTGATAGCTGAAGAAGACGAAGAATCCGTAACCCAAGGACGAAACGGATCATCCAAGAACGCAAAATGGACAGTAGAGTTTGTCGAAAATTCCGACAACATAATCCGTCTGAAAAGTTGTTACAACAAGTATTTAACAGCATCAAACCAGCCGTTTCTGCTGGGAATGACTGGCCTGAAAGTTCTGCAAACGCTGCCGGCCCGGCTCGATTCGTCGATCGAGTGGGAGCCCATCAGAGAAGGCAATTCAGTGAAGCTGAAAACGAGGTACGGCCAATTCTTGCGGGCAAATGGGGGACTGCCGCCGTGGCGGAACTCGGTTACACATGATATTCCTCACCGGACCGCCACCCAGGATTGGATTTTGTGGGATGCACATGTGGTTGAGATATTGGTGGCACCGCCGCCTCGTTTGGTTGTTCACTCGGATTCTTCTGCTTCGGATTCTAGTTCGCCTTCTACTCATTCCTCAATGTCTGCTAGCTTTTCTGGACCAGAGGTACTTTAACAATTTTGCTTTCTGTTCAATGATTTAGCTGTTTGTTACTTTGTAAAATGTGTGGATTTTCAGATTAAGATGGAATTATAATTAAAGAGGGAATAATATTAATTGAAGTTCGTCTCTGAAATTTCGTCTCTTCACGGACATTCGATAAAATTGGAATGATATAAAGAAGATTATGATGGCCCCTACGCACACGTATTTTTTAATATCATTTTTCTGATGCTTAAGTTTGGCATTACCAGAGTTAGAACAAGAATTATAGAAGCTAAATGTTTGAAGCATGATTGGCCAAGTCTTAAAAGAAAAGTAACTTTGAAACTTGTTTCTAGAAAAAAAGTAATTTTAAGCTTAGCCAAACGTGTTGTTTAGCAAAAAAGGCAATTTGAAGCTTAGCCAACATGCTTAGTTTTGTACTATTGTGTCTTAGAAGAGATGCAATATTCTTTCAGGCTGAAAATATTTAGGCATTTTTGTTTGTCAATTTTCATGTTGACTATTTGTGGATACTGATGTGTTTTTGGGGGGCTTTTGTGTAGTTAAATGATTTTGGGGTAAGTTCACCACCAAAGGGTAGCGATGGCAGGACGATTTACTTTCATATAGCGAATGAATATGGAGAGATCGATGAGGGGTTTGAGGAGCTCGGTATCACATTTAAGGGAAATGGAGTTCAAGAATTGACAAAGAGACTGGAGGAGGAGTTGGGAATGAATGGTATTATTGTGTGTACACGAAGCCCTTTGAATGGAAAGCTTTATCCTCTTCGTTTGCAGCTTCCTCCAAATAATTCAACCATGCATGTCGTCGTTGTTCCTTCCACATCACAAGGTAATCTTTTTATTCTGATTTAGTTCTAGTCAATCACAGTATCTTATATGATCAACCCATACAAATATGTAAATGCAATGTGTCTGTAGATTGATGTTGAAGGTATTTCTAATTTCTTTTTATTTCTGAGGAGCCAGTAACTGTGAATTTAATTCCGAAGTCACCTTGCCCCCCAGGCCTATTTGCTCCCCGAAGGTCTCTACTCTGCCCGAATGGATTTTTCTTCCCATTTTTCCATCATCTAGGCTTAATGCCATGTCCCAACCTCAGGAGGAACAATTACAACTGAAGTAGATTTATTTGTTAACTAATGGAATATTGTTCCGAAAACTGTACCTCTTTCAAAAAGCCTGTGAATAGAAAGATTCAAACTCCCAAGTAAAGAACTATTACAGATGTTGAAGAAACTAGTATACTCAGAGAAAAAAGTGTTAGATGAGTATTGTGCTTCTGGATTTTTACCTCGAGTTATATGCAATTACGAATTTTCTTTTTAGAAACTTGCTTGATTGAGTGATAATCATTGATATAAAATGGATTTGAGTCTTGAGATGTGTTTTAAGTGGCATAGCGTGAATCCGAAGGATTAATCCATATGTACAGAAGTTTTACACCCACTCACATGTGTGGGGTCCACCAAAATAAAAAAATGAAAAAAAAAAACCCACCCCCTTTTTCATTTGTGAGTATCTGTGAAACCAACCAACCACCTCACCCCCCTTTTGTGAGTTTAGCATAACTCCAAGGGTCAATCGATGTTATGCCTTATGGGTATGTTTGGTAGGAAGGATTATGTTCTACTGGATAGTATTATAGAATCTAAATCATGTTCATTACACTGTCTAGTTATGTCCAATATTGCGGACAAACATGCACTACAAGTAAATTTCTAAATCCAATGCCTCTTTTTATTAAATTTTGGTTTATATGCACATTGAATGTTCTTGTTTCAGTTACGAGCGTCTCATTTTTCTCATAATTCTTATTTTGGTGAATCAGAAGCTCAAGATTTGGGAAGAACGGGAACACCATAGTAGTAGATATTTAAAAGATTTCATCTGTCGAAATTTTGAATCAGAAACAAAGCATTTGTATTCAAGTGATGTAATATTCATAATCGAAATTGCATTTACTTCATATTTTGTAGCAGAAGCTTTTTGTACCTTTTATGGAAGTTCCAATTCATAAGTTTGTCTCACTCTCACATAGTGGAAGCAACTGTGAGAAATATGAAAATTTTATAATACTCTGTTTGAGGCTAATAATGAAAATGTGATGGAAGTAATCATAAAATTATAATGAAAATGTTTTCGTATTTTTATTGTAAAGATTTTACTAGTTACTCAACTAAACTCAAAGTACTTGGGTGCATAGACAAAGGTAACCTCGTCCGACAATGTCATGCTGACTACCAAAAAAATACACGCCTCCTTTCTTTTAGAGACAGTTCAATCGGTTGACAAATATGAAAGACCTAAATAGAGACCTTAGTGGTATCAATTATTCCTCACTAATGAAACATTCATAAACGTGGTTCAAATATATTATATTTGTTATTTCTCTGTGAAGATTATTGTATTGTCTATTTGAGAGTAGATTGAGTTACAGATGTTTGAATGAAATCTACGTCGCTTTATAGTCATTACCAATATGAAAATGGATAAATCTACTTGTGCATCAAAAGATGTACATCAAGGTATCCACCCCTCTCACATGGGGGTGGAATCCACTTGTATAAAATATTTTTTTTATTTAAGTGGGTCTTACCCCTATGTGAGGGGGTGGACACCGTGATATACATCGTGATGTACCCGTAGCAAAAAAGTATGAAAATATCTACTCACGGATGTACGTTTCACATCTACACATCACCGTCTAAATAGTTCGTTCAATTCCAACAAGTGGAGGGGATACTATACACGAAAAACGACTAGGGATATTTGAAAGCGCACCATCTATCAATCTTCTTCAGTTTCATACAAACCATTCAACTGGGCCTATTAGTTGGTGGGCCTAAATGGACTGATATTAGACCCCAAACCACATAACCAGTTACTTGTGTCTTACGGATGGCCCACAAATATTATCTAGCTTCGAAAGAGGAAAATGACTGTTTTATATGAACGACGTCGTAAGAGCTCCAAAATAGATTCCTTGACAGCACATTATGTGGACTGTTGGGCTGGACCTTTATTACTTGGAGGCCTATGAGACTTCTTGTTATAAAGAAAAAGGCAAGGCCTGTGCATATAGGGCTACTCTCGTGAAATTGGAAGAGAAATTCAGTCACATTCTCTCAGCTCTCTCTCTCTCTTCGAACTCTCGGCTCCCTCTCTACAATTTCAGATTTTTGTGAGATTAAAAATAGAGATTCTTGTGTGAATAAATTGTTATATAGTCTTAGTGCATTTCTTGAGTGATTTGTAGTAAGCTATTCTTGTGAATCCTTGTGTGGATTTCGTGTTGATTGGAGAAGGGTTTCGAATCTTGTGTGATTCTTTGTGATGTGTCGGTTGTAAAGAAGAACGGTCTTTATCCTTGTTTAATAGAGTGATTTCTTCCGGTTGGCGGAAGCTCAAAAGGGGATTAGGATTTTT